GTCTTTAAAATGCTCAAAATTACTCTTTAAATAGAGCATGTTTTAGCATATAATACTTTTCAATCAGAAACGTGCGTGCTTCGTGAGGGTCAAAGTGCGGCGGATCACCTAACTCGTCCTCAGTGACGAGTTCAAATCTAGTTAATTTTAGTTTACAAAAGCTTTTTGAAGGTTCTGACATTTGGTGCAGTTCTTACATCATCTGTAGATTGTTCCATAACTTAGCACCATGGTGACTGAAACTTTTCTCCTTATAGGTAGTGTTGGGTTTTTTTACCTCAAGAACATCACTGGATCGTGTTTTATACATTTTTTCTTTGAGTGCAAAGTGCTTAGTCAGATAAGATGGTGCTAGATTATGGAAAAATCTTGTACATAGTGACAGCTTCATGGTCTCTCAATGGATAATCATATATCATATAGCAATCAAAAAGTTGCATGTCTTTCTCTCAGAAATCTTGGGCAAATCTATTGTCATTTAAATATGAAAACCATGAAAGAAAGTACCGGTACATGCTTTCATAACATCTAAGTTTAATATTAGTATAGCTTACTATTATATGGCATGCACAAAACAAAATTACCTTGCTTCAAAAATATTGCTGCATGAATCATTAAATCATACACAAACACGAAGGACCACATCAACAGTTTATAAAAATCAGCATTGACTACCCACCATGAATGGTTGCCTGTATACCTTCTTGAAATTGTAAACAAACAAACCACACACATTGAGTCTACTCACAAACACTCATAGGAATGAATGGGGTGAAAGTGCATTGATGGTAGTTACTGAATACCACCACGAATACCATTGCAAGATTGACGCCAGTGCTATATAAGTAGCTCATTTGTTATTTTTATTTGTAATAATTCAATGACTTGTTTTTTAAAAGTCAATAATATTTTCAGTAAGTTAACTAAATATTTATTATTTGATGTAATATTATTTGAATACTTAATGATATATAAGTCTTGTTTTCTAGACACAAAAATTGAAGATGATTTGCTGAAGAAGATTGCACTGGCTGTTAATGAAAAGTGGTATATAATGGGCAAATTGCTTGGATTGAGTAAAAAAAAACTTCGTGCAATAGGCATGAAGCCTGCCTATTTTGATGACAAGGCATTTCGAATGCTTAAAACATGGCAAAAAGATAATCGGTGTGTGAGAGATAAACTGGGTTTCATTGCACGAACACTTGCTTTCAAGGAAGTCGATAACCAAAATCTTTCTAATGAATTATTTCAAGGTAAACTTATGTCTTTTATAGATATATGTTATAGTATATACCACTTACATAGATTCTAGATATCTGATTGGTTAAGAAGTAGGCAGTAACATCAACCATCGCTCCTATGACGTAGGTTTCAATGATTGTCCATTTTTCCCTGGGAAAAAGTACTATCACCCTAAATGATAGTACTTTTTTGCTCTGTCGCAATGTGTAATCTCTAGGCCGCCACCTATAACGTTGCTATTTAATTTATGACACGCACACAGATAGTAAAGGGGAACGCAACCTCTACGACGCTGAAAGAGATTGGCTCTTTGATCACCTAGACCTAGGAGATAAGCCTAGGCCTATTTGGTGTTTACTCCTTTCATTACTTTTTTAGGTCTCATAGAATCTATGTGTGAAGCTTTCGAGGAAAATAGGCTACGGTCTCCACATCACCGAAGGGACATAGATTTCACCATTTCATTCAATAGCAGTCAATATTTGTATACTATTTAATTTTGAAAGAGATATACTGTCTGTCATATAATCCTTGCATAACCTTAAATGTAATTAAAAACTAAAATTTAATGTAAAAAGGTCAAATTATTTACATATAGTACTGATATTCATTATTAGTCTGTTGTCAAAGACATACAACAAAACAAATGTTGTTATACCTGACGTGTTATCGTACTGAGTGGTCAAGTGATTTTGAGTGGGAATCGAACCCATGGCCTCTAGAAACTTGTCTGGTGTCTTAACTACTTGACCACAACTAACTTTACAACTACAATTAACTTTACGACTAACATTACTTGTTAGTAAGAGTATATTATTAGCTGTGTGCAGACAGTATATTTTAAGAGTTTAAACTATTTTATGGAAATCTGCATCATTAGCAGTTTCATTTTTTTTCCTCTTCTTATTACTGTATTTATTAATAAGAGCATTATTCAAATGTTGATAACTATATAACTTTTGTAGGTGTGGACGATGAAATTCTGGAATTTGTTTCCCAAGAGGTTGATAAAAAGTGGGATACTCTTGCAAAAAAGTTGGAAGTAATACCCAATATCATAGAACAAATTGGTAAAAACTGTAGAGCCAACCACAATATAATGTGTTACGAAGTCTTAGTTATCTGGAGGACCAACCAACCGCCTGTCTCCGATAAGGTTTTGTTCCTTGCATCAGTTCTTAATCAAGTTGGTTTTGAAAATGTAGCAACATTTTTGATCCAAGGTAAAGGTCTTCTTTTATTTCATTTATGTTGATTGGTTCCAAATATCACTTATCAAAGGTTGGAATACACCATATTAAGATAGGAAATACGATCATTAAACATTAACCTCATTCAGAAATCTTGGCATCTTATTTCATAATTACAATATTTATGTCAGGCGATGTTAACCCTCTGGATACCGGATTCTTTTGTAGTGCAAACCCTTGAATACCGGATTCTTTTGCAGTGTAACAAGGTTTTTTGCATTTTTTGAGTATACGTCGTTCTAGTGGATTTTTGGGAACTTTCTGTATATTATACAGAAAAATGTTTCAAAAACAAAGAAAGCTTATAGAATAAGCTTTCATTTGATGTATAATTTATATTTTTGGGAATTTTTTTTTCATAATATAATATAATATAATATATATAATATAATAGAAATGACAGAAAAATGCTACATATCGTCAGCAAAAACCGAAAAAAAAAATAAATTATAGCCAAAAAAAAAATAAAAACAAATATAAAACATTACTATTCCACACAGTTATATAATTTATTTACCCAACCATCCATAACTATAAGCGCGATCTTTCCATTCAAAAGCGTCGATTACCCTCACATTTCTAGGCCTAGGCTCATCTTCACCAAGAACATCTCCGCCGTCAGAACTGCTTGAAGCATCATCACTAACAGGCACGTCTAAGTCTCGCACATCTAAAAATTCACCTTCATCGCTGTCTGAATAAAAAATCAGGTCAATCGCTTGCTCAGCTGTGTACACACTTGTGCGGCCATTTCGAAAAAATTTTGAAATTAATAATGATTTCAAATTGATATTTCTAAAAATTTTTATATAAGCGCATGTGAGTTCTTCACAGATTTCGAAAGACAAAAGCTTCACGCAAATAAAAACAGAAGAGCGATTTGAAAACCACCTATTTTTTAGTCACTAAATTTCGATTGCAGTCGAAAATGGGAATTCTCGGTTTGAAGTCAATTTCGACTACAGTCGAAGACGGTATCTAGAGGGTTAATACACTCTGCAGCTTCATTTTAAGAAGTTACTTAAAACTTTTTTTCTGCACCAGCAACCCGTCACATTTCCTATAAACTGTAGCATTCATAACTCCAAAATATATGATTTCTCTCCCATTCTTTACATTTCTATTTGATTTAACATTTCTAGGGTTAGATGATGAATTTTTACAGGTGTTATCTGTTGGGCTTTCATCATCATGGCAGGATGTTGCTATAGAGCTTGGCATGACACAAAATGAGGTCAACGACATTGAATATGGACCAGTTAAAGACACATCCAAACAAGCTCATCAAGCGTTCATGAGGTGGAAAAAACAACAACCATCAAGCGTTGATAAACTTGGAATTCTCGCCAGTGCTTTGAAAAAGACAGGCCATGATGGATTAGCTCAACATTTACTTGGTGGTATGTAAAATATTCATATTATTATTGGTTTACAGTTGGACAGAAGCAGAGTTGAATAATCTATCTTAACTGCCAGACCATTTTAGTAATAGCAATGCTCTCTGTCAGACATTTTAGCCAATTTGACCAAGTTTCCAGTTGACGTTGCGAACACAGGTATATACAAATATGGAATGTTCTTAACACCGAAATAAAGAGCTTTAAAATGATATCATACCTGTACATTTTATTCATACAATAAACTATTGCTACACAAATTTGAATAGAAAACACATAACTTTTACAAACTCATTGACCAGGCTAAGTGCCCCTGTTGGCCACGACCTGTCGTACCAAAACAAGAAAAACTTTGTTTTTTGTGTTTTTTTTACAAATTTTGTGGTCATAATACATTCTAATATGTCTCAGATGAGCTTCACCTGTGGCTTCTACCCATTCTCTTCCTACTCCATCGACAAATCCTGACATCAGCAATGCACATGATAGACACAAAATAATTACACAAAAGAGTTTTCTATTCTGTATCCTTTGCAATTTTGGTTTTGGAAATTTAATATGTTTAAAGAAAATAGATAAGGATAACAAAAGTAAAAAACATCATTTTAAATCAACATTTTTTGATCAACAGGTCTTGAGGATGGAAACATTCACAAAATTGCAATTGAGTTCTTGAGAAATAAAGTTGGTAAACAAACTTTGTGTACAACACTGAACTTCAAGGAATCACATTTGAGATATTTTGAGCGAAAGTTTTTAAGTGATTTTGCGCAAATGAAAGCCATGATGTTTGCCTGGAGGGCTCAGTTAATTCATACTAAGGATAAAAAACAGGAGTTAATAAAGTTACTTGGCAATAATGGTTTCACAGACATCCTCAAAAATGTGTTTCCAGGTAAGTGGTACCCTTTAAATAAACTTTATAAAGGATTACATACAAAATTATATTAACACTCTGCCTGCCAAACACGAAAATCTCTGTGTTTGGTAACACTCGACCGCCAAACATGGAGGTCTCCGTATTTATTATCGACATGTACTAAAAATTTTGAACACCATATTCAGTCTGGACCGTGAGCATTGCACTATTTGTTTGTTTACATTGTGCATAGCGGTATTGATGTACTTTCACGAATCGCAATTATCTCAGCTTCGTTGTGCGAAATTGCGTAAATCTCTAAAAGTGAGTCATTTTACTGTTACAAGTCACAGATTGTGATTAAAATAAAGTGTTTGGTACCATTGTAAAGCTAAGATGTTTGTAGTTCTTGTTGTATTCATTACATGTCAATCTGATCACATAGGCACTCTCAACGAACTTCGGAAAAGTGTTTAAATTCGCTAAAATGTCTGGCGGTGGCTGATACTATTTTTTCAAACCCCTGGCAATCAGAGTGTTAAAGAGCATGTACAAACTTTATATTGCATGTTATGTGGCTGTTTGTGTAATTGTTTATTTTAGAGGATCATTGTTTTTCTGTCAAAATATATCTAAATAGATATACTTTCTGTCATAAGAAGTGGAAATCTTTGAAGATACAATTTATTAAATTTATTTACCAACTTTTTTAATAGGATCAAATAAATTATCAACTTTTACTGAGGTTCAGAGCGAAACAAATAAGCATCAGTTAATCGGTGAGAAAGCTATTTTCTTTTTATGATTTTTTTCAATTTAAAGCACATAACTTAAATATACTTCATATACAGTAAATATTGTAAGTCAGTGGTGAAGTCATCACTTTCATTTGCACTGAATATTCCCATACCCGACTGATTAATATATCAATATAGTGCCTTTTTTTGCATCTTGTGTGTGATGTTTAAGGAGTGTCTGTTTACCTAAGTTATAACGGTTAATAACGTACACAACTGATTACGGTATAACGTTTACTCGCATGCTTTACTTCCATACTTGAGCATTCTCGTATTAAACATCGGTATTGAACATAATAGAGGGCGGTGTCCAATGCTACAACATTACATCTTGTGCAAAAAGCTTGAAGCTGGGGTGACTTTACTACAGTACATCGTGATGGAATAATTCGTTGCAAGCCCAAACTATAAACGCACACAGTGAACCGAACAAATCACGCTCTACGGAGCTGTGTAACACGAATGAAGCCTAGAATATGAGATAACAAGGTGATTGACTTATAAAAGCAGTGAAAAAATAAGGCAACCCTGAAATAATTTATAATAGTGTTTGCAATAAATTTTAATCTATTAAACAAATGTCTACCGTGAGGTTAGACCTACCTAATAACCCCTAATAAACTTCATTAACCACAATCAATTTATTCATCTTCGTTCGTATGGCGAAGAGCTGTGTGAAGAGTGTCAGTGTGCGTACTACCAGTAACAAATCATTCTAATACGCGCAGCTAATGCAAACGCACAGTGGTCACTGAGCAACGAGCATCGCAACCAACTGTTTGATTTATGAATATGTAGCAACCACTCTCATAGTTTACCAACCTGAGAGATTTGAAATACATTTTCTACTGAATTCATGATAATTCGTTATCACGCATGGACAAATTTATGCTCACGCATGTGTTTCTGCATAATGCGTGTTTCATCCAAAATCACTTTAAAATGCGAGACTGTCCCGCACGATGCAAGACGGTTGGTAACTATGCACTCTACAACCAGCAGTTTGATTAAAGGGCCATATAAAAGGTGATGGACATCACAACTAACTTATAAAGAAATTATAATGAAGTATAAATATCGTACACTATAGGAAATAATAGCCTTTGGAGCTATTAATGGCTCCTTCAGCTTCTAATTCCTATAGTGTACTCAAAACCTGAATATAATTGCTTATTATTTCAGGAGCTCCAAAAATTGAATAATAATGGCTGCATCACACATAGTTTTTGCTTTTAGCTCAACAGTATATCATAAATCTGAATGGCACGCACACACACACACACACACACACACACACACATAAATAAGTAACTAAAATAATTTTGTATGTTCTCCTACTTTAAGGTTGTTGAATAAAGTTAACTTTAAATTTTAATTTATATTCCTGGGTGGAGAGAAACAATGTGCCTCATTAAACCATTCCAGAGTTTTTCATTAAACATAATTTGTGTCTTAGAAAAATCAGTTCTGCAACATATCAATATTTTTGAGTGGCAGTATATATTTAATCATTTAGTCAGAGTGAAAGTATGACATTCAACCCATTTTTAGTTGAAAGTTCTTTCAAATAATCTTAGAAACTCAAAATTCAATCAAAATGATTAAACAAGATATCAACTTTCTATTAGACACAAATCAAGAAAAAAAATTTTTTTGCTGATTTACATCAGCTAAAAGTGAGTGACACCTCAAACTAAAATAATCACAACATGTTGTAGCCTATCTTAAGCATAGACCTGTTTAGGGAGTCACAAATGCTGTCTCAAGATACTCATTAGCTTGTTTTTTAAATGTAGAAACTGACAAGGAACTAAAACTCATATCTCTCAAATTGTATGGAAACTGGATAAGGTTTGGGAAATTATTTGGTTTTCAAATTGAAGAGCTACGTGAAATTGAAAGAAATTTCTCACAAGCAACACATGCATGTCTAGAAATGCTCAAGAGATGGAGGGACTGGAAGAAAGATACTGAGGGATTCAAAGCAACAATTGATGCATTAAAAAGCTATGATGGTAGGTTATTTTATATTGCTTGTGTGTGTTTGCTTCTATATAAAATTACATTATTTTATATTGCTTGTATGTGTTTGCTACTATGTAAAATTACATTAAACTGTCATTTTGATGATCTATACACCATCAAAATACTTTTGATGTTATTTAACTATTAAAAGAAACTTATGACTGAGTGATGTATATAAATTATTTCTTTCACTGCTTTATCTCAACAAATTAAATAAATTTTTTTCTCAGGAATGGAGATTCCTGCAGAGATTTTGGCTAGAGGGCCTGATGCATGGCACACATTTAAAGCCGCCCGAGAAGAGGGAGAAAAAGACTTCAACTTATTTAGGCTTAATGTGATAGGCCAAGAAAATGTTGGGAAAACTTGCTTGATTGATTCGACATTAGGACATAAGTAAGAATGTAAAACCTTTATTTAATTTTTTTGTACATAACACACAATTTTGCCCTTGGCTATGAACTGTTATTTTATTTTTTCTACTGTAATAAATAAAGTGAACCTGCAATACTTTAGATAATAGATATAATAGAATTTTATGACCAATCAGGGATAAGACTTTTCTGTGTAACCAAGTACAGTACTTTAGCACTACTCAAAAAACAACGGTTTTGCAAAATCAACATTTTTATACCCTTTCAGGAAATAGAGGGGTACCAAAAAAAGGGTACTGTTTGTACACTTTTGAAAAGGTTGGTAATTGTGAATGACCCCTAAATAGCCAGAAGTGGTTTAGATAATCACTAGCAAAATACAATTCTACCCATACCTCCATTGCTTATGTACTTACTGTAATGCTTCTGCAATTTTGGCATCCTCGTATCTATAGTATGGTTGCTGTATTATAATAATCAACGGCAGCGCTCAAGTAATTAAAAATCATTTCATCTTATTTTAGCAGCGAGTGCCCCCTTACTTAAATTATCAATCCCTCATACTTCACTTTTGCATCCCATTAATCAACCCCCTTTCCCATAATAATGTTTTTTTATGTTTTTTTTTTTTTTTTTGAAGATTTAATGA